TTTAGGAAGAGAGGTCTTTACTTTATTCCCAGGCTCACCAGATACCAAATCTTTCTGGATTACCCACAAACAAAATGCACATGAACTGTACTCTCTAAAGACATAGCCATTCACACAACATTACATGTCCTCTGTAACACACCTGATGCTCACGTTCGACACAAGACACATAAGCATGCTTCAGAAGACACAGACGTCACAAAGACCACGTCTCCTCCAAATGCAGTCTCACTTGCTTCTTTCTCACATGTTCTTCCAACCTTCAAATCCTTAACATTGATTATTTTTAGAGGTACTATGCCATTTTCAGAGTTGTGGCAGATTCATTTGCCTCATTGCTTTTTTAATTTTTCATGTATTTATTTACTCATTCATGTATTTATTCTCCACCTTGTTCCAAAATGGATATCAGGTGGCTTACCATAATTCACAAAATACAATATGACACATAAATTCAAAGTAGATAAGAAAGTAAAAGGAACAAAAAAGATAGGACCATAAAATGGAGACTGGAAAAAAAGCTAATGCAAAGGGTATACATACCATAGAGTCCCTGAAACATGCTATGCATAGGCCACACATTTGGCTCCAAGCTTTCTCATGGCAAACAAAAAAGAAACCTGATCAGTCTCACACTTCAGAGGTTATGTAAAATAAAGTCAAAACACTTGTTTAGGATGTCCTTTTCCTGATCTAATGCTGAAAACTTTCCTATAGTGGAGTACTATAAAATGGTGGCAAATTGTCTATCCTAATATGCTCTAATACCAATAATCAGCTCCTGGATCAGTCTCCAACAAAGACAGATCATCAATCTTCAAATTACATCTACTACTTCTTATGTTTTTTTCTATCTGTCTCTTGAAGTTCTATTTGTTCAATGAAATGTAGCTATTTAAATAGACTTCTTAAAACAAATAAGCAAGAACCTCTGCTGACACCAAAGCAAGTACTTTCATTTAACTAAAGAAGTAGACATTGTGACATTATTTATATCAGAAACTTGGAAAGGGCCCCAAATATCCAATAAAAGGAAATGGTTAAATAAACCACTGTTACCACTATATGATAAAATGTTATATATCATCAACAAAATGATATTTATAAAAACTTTAACAAATGTAAAAATACTCATGATAAAATTTTTAAGTGAAAAAAACAGGATATAAAACTGTATATTTTATTATCTTAAATAGGTAAAAATATGCCTTTATACAGCCATAAAAACTCTGAAAAAGAAATTCACCAAAATGAGATGTGAGAATGTGAGTGACTTTAATTTTTTTCTATATGTTTGTCTTTATTTTCCAAAGTTTTTGATACTAGTAAAAAATTTCCCTATGATGAGAAGAAGAAGAATTAGGAGTAAAAATACTAACTTAGCCCGTTATTATTGGACTGTGGAATTATGGGAAATTTCAGTTTTTCAGTTTTCTACAATTGATATATAAATTCTAGTCCAGAACAAAGTTACTGAAAGAAACAAGAATTCTAAAATCTAGTTTTATGGTTGTTTGTTTCTAAGGTCCAGAATGATGCAAATCTAATAACACCTTATAATTATTAAGCACTTAATAATTATAAAATTTCTTTTAAATTTAAAATATTAATTTTTAAAAGCATCCTCATACTTGAAATTACATATAATTATCAACAATATCTTGTGAGATAGGCTAGATATTACTCTCTTCATTTAAAAGGTGATGAAACTGAGGCTCAGAGAAAGTAAGTGACTAGCCCAAAGTCACAATAATCAGTGACAGAGGTGGACTCAATCCCAGGCCTCTAAATCCAAGTCCAGGGCTCTTTCCATTCATTCAAGACTGACAGTGGTGTAACCCAAGCAGTCACTCAGAGGCAGAAGCACAGAAACCCCTCCCTAACTTTGAGGGTCCTATTCCGTAATAGGAGACCCCCAAGGTAGGAGAGTTCAGCTGATGAAATTATGATTTCAGGAGGTTAAAAAAAAGAGCAAGGGAAGTGAGGTTACATGTGAATTTTTTGAAAGCCCTCATAAATACTTTTTTGCATAGTAAAACCAAACAATAACAACAGTATATTACATAAAAATAATAATGGGAGTTTACATAGCTTAAATTAGTAAAAATGAGAGGCTCTGCATAGTTTCTATTTTCATCATAACATGATTTCCAGAGGTGATGAAGATGTACCACTCATTATTCGCAGTGATAGTGAAGCAACAAACACAGGTGGACTATTAATTCAAATCATGGTTCTCCATACTCTTAGAGTCATCTAAATCCAATCCTGAAATTATAGCAACTTGCTTGTGGCTTTAACCTTATCAAGCAAGTGATTTTAAGTGGTACAACTTAATGACTTTGACTCTTTTGAAGAGGCTTTCTGTCTTCTCAAGTTTTTTTTCCATGACAATTTAGCACTTTGGTATAGAATTCAAATTAAATTATTCAAGCTTTTCCTGAAGGCAGATTATCAGCTGTTCAGCACTGGTATTTAAATGACATTACTTGATAATTCACGTTCTTCTGAGGCTGCTTTCTTCCCAATATGGTGTTGTCAAAATACTCTTATAACCTCCTTAAATAGTTCAGTTAAATCATTCACACTTCTGAAGGCAGATTATCAGCTGACCAGCAATGATATTAAATGGCACTATTTGATGATTTAAATCCTGCTGAAAGATGGTTTCTGTCTAATGCTGTATTTTTTGAAGGCATCATAGTACCTCTTTATAGGTAGTTTGACATGTAAAGGTGTCACTTTTAACTACTTTATTGGGGAGGTTATAATCTTGTTCTAAAATATTTGTTCCTATTGCTCCAGTTCCATAGATTTTATCATCACTTCTGATAATCACCTCTGGGTTACTGGAAGTCTCCTGAGAGTCATAGCAGCATTGCATCACTTGGATTAGTGTCAGCAGGTTTGGATTCAACTTCAGCCAATGACTGCTCCTATGCCAAATGTTCACCTGCACCCATAGGTTCTTCTTGATCCAGAGATATTTTTGTCTTCAGAATGCATTGCTGAAAGATATTTCATCATATCTAGCCAAATTTTCTCTTAGGTTGCATTCATTATAGGCCCTGTTAAATTATCTAAAGCCTCTTTTATTAAGAATATAACATTAGTGGTGGTTTAGGAATACCATGTACAAGGGTCTTAAGAAAGAGGAACCTTTGCGAGATTTTGAACAACAAAGGTATATTACAAATTTGGCACATGTCTTCTTGAATGACCATTTCAAACACTGATCTGAGAGCTTGAGTATGTGAGACATGAGACTAGTTATAAAAACGCCCTTAACATCAGGATGCACACTGGCAAGTACATCTGAGGTACCAAAAGGACTGTGAAAAATCAGCAGAATTTTGAATTCAAAATTTAAAATGGTCTTAAACTTGGACAAGAAAGTACTTTTCAAACAATTCCTTATGGAGAGAAGGAGTCATCCAGGCTTTTCAGGCTTTTCTGTTTGCACACAAGTACACTGGAAACTTGGCTGGGTTTTTTCCTCTGGAAAGATTTGGTCAGTTTTCTGTACCCTAGTAATGATTTCACTATGAGGTCACCTGAAGTAGTGGCACAAAACATGAATGTAATCTTCCCTATTTTTGCTGACCTCATGCCAGCATCTGTTGGCTCCTACTCTTCAAAAGGGAAAGTAAGATCATTCAATGACTTCCAAAGCACAGCAGTTTCAACAGCACCAAAGAATTTTTACAGGCACATAATCCCCTTCTTCAATCACTTCACTGTGGCAGATACAATACAGAAGCTGCAGGCTCTAATAGTTCTTTCTTTGGCACCACTGCCACATAGAATTTGGTTTCCAGGTCATGGATAGTTTCTCAAACCATACCTTTTTCCTTGCAAAAAAATTTTCTGGACCCACTTCAGTGTCTGAAAATAGGTCTTCAAAAATTTCTCTTGCATGGTCACAGATCCCTTACATGGAAAGTGTTTCCCTATTCTTTTGCTTGTCTTTAATCCAGATGTTTAACATAGTTTCCATCTTTTCCATCCCTATGTCACAAGGGATAAAACATCTCTTAAGTGATGTGGGTATAAAGAAACAATACTGACCTTAATAAGAGTTTCAGCTTTCCTTATGGTACTAATTGTGGATTCATTAACACCATGAAAGCAACCTATACAAAACTATCTGGTTTACCTTGAAGAAACAGATCAGGAATGTCCCTTTTCTCTTCTCAAGACATCACCCTTTTTGCTCTTACGGCAACTTTTTGTGGTAACAGTGTTCCTGTACTTCATTCACTCTCTTCTGTCTCAACAGTCATATTTATAGAAACCATGTTTAAACTTTATGCTAATTAACACAGCCTGGCAATTATTTACCAGAGATTTTAAACCCCCTAGTGTTACAAAGTGTCAGCATATGATATTTAACTACCAAATGGTATTACTAACAGCGCAAGGATAAATGATAATATACTGTTGCAATATTCAGTACAAATAGGGCTGGTTGTGTAGGGAACAACTGGCAGAAGATGAGAGAAAAACAAATGATTTGGAAATTTCTTCCCACCTTGTGATATAGTCAGAGAGACAATAATGTGGCAGCTTGGACTGACTCCCACATACTCAATTCAAAAGTTTCACAGCTGTCAAAAAGATATACAGAAGTAAATCCACCTATAGTCAAATTTCCAATAAGGAAAACTTGCAGTTTAGAAAGGATTAGTGTAAATTCTCCTCTAAGTTATCAGAAAGAAAGTCACTGTTTATATATTCAAAAGTACTATTCCTATGATTTACCCTGGGCTAACACTATGAATTCAATTTTATGTAAAAGGTAAACACAACAAAAGTAAATTTCTGTAAACCACAGACATCAATCACATATTAACTTCTCACAAAATGCAACTCTGAAGAAGTAGACATAAAGGTTAGGCAGGTCCTAAACAGTCAATGCCAAGAAATGACTACCCAAGAAAGAAAGTGACAGTGAAAGAATAAACTATCCCCTTTTCAATTCCCAGCCACTGATACTTTACTTTTATCCCCTCCTCCTGGGAAGATAGAGCGGAGCCTGGCTTTCTTATTCTTCTCTTCAGGGGCCATGGGTAGTGGTTTGGAGCTGTGGTTGATTGTTGAAGAATCTCGGTTGTTGCTATTCATCCTCAGTGGGGGAGCTGGGGGTTTCTCTTCATTATCCAGACTGTCAGACATTTTCAATTACAACTAATTGCACAGCTCCTAAAGGAGGAGGAGAAACAGAAGTTAAGAAAGAATAGGTCTAAAAAAATCTAGTAAATGTGGGGATTCTAACATCTTAGAAAGAAAAGCATTTTTCTTTCATTTCAGGTTTTTCATTGACCATTTTGAGGGGTTTCTTTTCAAGAGGGAAATGTACTGTCTCCCTAAAGACCAACAATACATTTTCCCAAAAAGAAAAGTGAAGGCAATGATTAATGGCTTTTCCATATGCACACACAAACACACAAGGTCTCTTCCTTTCCTTGTGATGAAACTATTTTCTGCTGTTCACTCAGTCTTGTAATGAGCAATTTACAATCTTTCTTTTTTAAAAATTCTATCCTGATGATTGCCATGGTAATGTAGCATAATGTCCTCAGAATCCAGAGTTGACATAGGCTTGGCTATTGATTTTTAATGATCCACAAGAATGATTTAGCCCTGGCTGGTGTGGCTCAGTGGACTGAGTGCCAACCTGCACACCAAAAGGCCACCAGTTCGATTCCCAATCACAGTACATGCCTGGGGTTACAGGCCAGGTGCCCGGTTGGGGACATGTGAGAGGCAACCAATGTTTCTCTTGCACATTGATATTTTTCTCTCTGTCTCCCTCCTTTCCCCTCTCTCTCTAAAAATAAATAAACAAAATCTTTAAAAAACAGACATGATGTGAATATTATTTTTTTAAAAAGAATGATTGTTGGCTGCTTTGTCATTGGGATGTATTTGATGTCTTATTCTTCCCTGGTGTGTACCTGATTTACAAAATACAGGCTACTGTTTTATGAAAAAACTGAGAAGCAATCTAGTAGACCTGGCAGCTTCAGCAGAATTGGAGTGTATAGATAGAGAAAACAATTTCCCACTTCAGGTAGCAGGTAGAAGATAAAACTGAGCCAAATGTCACCATGAGCCAAGAGTACCTTCAAGTAGAGGACCACTTCCTGAGGAGATACTAAAAGCTTACTCCTTGTCATATTTTATGTCCTGGAACAAGGAACAAGGAAGTTGACAGAGGTAACATGGCTGTAAGAACCAGTCTGAGTTTTAGCAACTTGTTCATTTTTAATTTTATTATTCCTTTGCATCTTGTGCTTAGGGCTGAATGAATATTTTGGGTTTCATCCCACTGAGAGGGTAAAGTGGACTGGAAAAGCATGGACTTCCCATGTAAATGCTTCTGTTTCCAGCTGTTTTCCTATTCAAATTTAAGTCTTTCATTAGGGACCTAAAACTTGCCATGGCAAGTCAGGTGTCAACACTATCTTCCAAGTGAATCTCCAGTTTGAATACAAGAAAAATCAAATTCCATTGTAACAAAATCTCTGTAAATTCATCAAGTATTATTTGGCTCTGATTTAGGAGCATAAGAACTGTCCAAACATAACTTAGCACACCACTCCATTCTAACAACATTTACTATAAACAAACCTAAGTACAACAACAACAAAAGCAGGACCTCATTACCTGCAATAATGAGAAATACCCATCATGATTATTTTAACTCTTTAGTTGTTACGATGTTTATTATTTTCACTAATGAACTCTAATTAGATTATATCATTCAATGTAGAAACACTTTTAAATTTTACAATGTTCTAAGTTTTCTCAAACATATACAGTCTGTGAATATTCAAGAATAAGAAAGTATCAATTAATAGTTTCTCCACCTGCACAGTTGACCGTCAACTAACAATGATTGGCTTGATCTTGATTTGGACAAGAAATCTCTTTTACTTTCTTAAGTGTCACACTTTGTATTATCTTAATGAATTACAATAAAGTCTGTTTTTCAGTAATCACCATAGTGAAAATACTCTGTATTAAATGTTTTGCCATGAATGGTACCAACTTGACAAGTCTCACATTGTCCTATGCATGGATACTACTGGTATTATTAGTACATATTTTAACTAGGATATGAAGCTGGTGCTAATGGGTCTACATTCCATTTTGAATTTGATTTTGATTTAAATTCACTGTTTCTCCAAAATAAAAGTGAGATTAAGACTGACTTAATCAGTGGCATTATTCTGATTTGGACAGGTTCATGATTTTAATTTAACCACTGAGAAGAATTTGCCACCAGAAACAAAGCACTATTTTTTGTTGTTTTTTATTTGTTTGTTTTACTTTACTGAGTTAAAAAATTCTGAATATAGGTGATTATTCAATAAAACTTGGTTATACAAACTCTAGCTTGTATAATAATGAAATTTGATAATAAATATAATGAAAATTTAGAGTTACTGAAAAAGAACTGAGGATTTAAGTAGAAATACCTAGAAGAGAAGTTTCTAGGTATTTCGTCTCACAGAGAGAGAGGAGCCACCATATTTGCATGACACATATTTTCTGAGGACTGATTACTTGAGATGACAGAAGTCAGAGAAACATGCATGGCCTCTTCAAAATGATTTACAGAGCTGGTCTTGTATAATAAGGCAAGTAAGATTCTGGATCAGTCAGGGTTCTAGGGCACCTATGTAATTTAAAATACAAGGGTCCTTTGTTCTTGATAAATGGGTGTGGCTAATGAAGTGGCCTTTTTTGTTGCTAATTAAGGGCTCTGGCCAGAGACTCAAAAGGTAGGTATCTAGTTTCTTTTCAGGATGCTTCATTATCCTGGCCTTATTTGACCCAGTATATTTTAGGTTGGGAAAAAAAAGGCTACTTGTAATATAAAACTCAAACTATATTCTCCTATGTTAGTCTAGAAATTTCTAACCAAAATGTCAACCCCACACACTTGCTGAGGTCCAAATCACAGGCATTCTCAAAGGATCTAGCTTATGTCATTTTTAGTTTATTTTAAATTTCAATATGCATTTTCATATCTTGTGCCAAAGTTGTACATTCAGCAAAATTTCTTTCAAAGTTACATTCTCATGTTTGTTGTAAACAGAGGGATTACACATGAAGCTTTTTATATAGTCATGGATTATTTTTAATTGCAAATCTATATTAACATTTCCCACTTGGTTTAAAATAGTACCCCATGCAGATAAGTTGCATACAAATTTGTAATGTATTTTCGCCAAGACATTTTTAATTTAAGAATAATGTCTTCTGTCATTTTGATAGGGGACTCAAAACTTAGAAAATTTTAGCTTAAGGCAAATAGCCATAAATCTAGCAAGTAATGCATATGTTAAGCTCTTTGTTTCAGAAACTACAGATAAGGCCCATCTGGCACCTGAAAAAAAGCAGCTGACCTTCTGGGGTGCTGGCTAGAGATTACTGCTTGGAGACAACCGTATGGGAAGAGCAGGCAACTGCTCCCCTCCCACTTGGAGATAGCTATTGCCTAGAAAAAAGTGCTGCAGCTGCAAACTTCAAAGACTTTCACTAACTCCTGTTTGCTCTCCCCCAACCCTCTTATAAAAAATCTGGCCAGGAAAAAAAGGGGAAGATGGTTTGTTAGGGTAGGAACAGACCATCTTCTCGGATCGCTGGCCATCTGAATAAAGCGCCTATAAAAGATCCAATCACTGTCATTGCTTATTGGATTTGGTAGTGACAGACAGCCCGAACGCCAGTGTCTTTTCTGGTTACAATTTCATATTATATACTTTAGTATATGATTAACATCTTTGATTTGTGAGCAGGATGCCTTTATTTTTTTTATCTTGTTGCCTATCAGGTATCCGTACATTTGTAATATGGTTTTTATTTTTAAGTCATTTTTTATTTTACAATTACAGTTGGCATACATTATTATATTAGTTTCAGGTGTGCACCCAAGTGATTAGACATTGCATAAGTGATCATTACTAAGTGATCACCCCCAAAATCTCACACCCATCTGACACCATACATGGTTATTAGAATGTTATTGATTGTATTCCCTATGCTGTATTTTACATCCCAATGATTATTCTGTAAACAACCACTTTGTACTTCTTAATCGCTTCACCTTTTTCACCTATCCCCCCAACTGCCTTCCAATCTTCAAAATGTCCTCTGTATCTATGAGTCTGTTTCTGTTCTGCTTGTTTTTGTTTTTTAGATTCAATTGTTGATAGATATGTACTTATTGCCATCTCATTGTTCATATTTTTGGTCTTTTTATTTCCTTCTTAAAAAAGACCCTTTAACATTTCATATAATACTGGTTTGGTGGTAGTGAACTCCTTTAGTTTAGGTTTGGTTTTGTTTTTTTCTCTTTCTCTCTCTGGGAAGCTTTCTTCTGTCTGATTCTAAATGATAACTTTGCTGGTTAATTTTGGTTTTAGGTCCTTGCTTTTTATCACTTTGAATATTTCATGCCAATCCCTTCTGGCATTCAAAGTGTCTCTTGAGAAATCAGTTGACAGTCTTATGGGAGCGGCCTTGTAGGTAACTAACTGCTTTTCCTTTGCTGCTTTTAAGATTCTCTCTTTGTCTTTACTATTTTGCATTGTAATTATTATGTGTCTTGGTATAGACTTTAGGGTTCATGTTGTTTGGGACTCTCTGCATTTCCTGGACTTGTATTCTATTTCCTTCATCAAGTTAGGCAAGTTTTCTGTCATTATTTTTTCAAATAGATTTCCAATTGCTTGCTCTTTCTCTTCTTCTGGCACTCCTATGATGTGAATACTGGTACACTTGAAGTTGTCCCAGAGACTACTTACACTTTTCTCATTTTTTTAATTCTTTTTTTTTCTTTTTGATGTTATGATTGGGTATTTTTTGCTTCCTTATATTCCAAATCACTGGTTTGATTTTTCACTTTATCTACTCTACTGCTGATTCCCTGTATACTATTCTTCATTTCTGACTAGTTCTTTTTTATGCTGTTGAAGTTCTCACTAAGTTCATTGAGGATCCTTATAACCAGGGTTGAGAACTCTACATCTAGTAGATTGTTTGTCTCCATTAAATTTAGATTTTTTTCCTGGAGTTTTGTTCTGTTCTTTCTTTTGGGACATGTTTCTTTGTCTCTTCATTTTGACAGCCCCTGTGTGTTTGTTTGTATGTATTAGGTAGAACTACTGTGTCTTCTAGGCTTGGTAGAA